CTTCCCCCTCCTCTCTCTCTCTCTCTCTCTCTCTCTCTCTCTCTCTCTCTCACTCACTTTTTCTTACATCCTCTAACGTATTACATATACACGCATATACATATACTCGTGCGCGCACTGGGACACGATCGTTGGCACTGTATACGTATGTTATAGGCAATTAGTTAAAAATAAAGAGAAAAAAGAAAGTGGCTCGATCGGAAGTTTTTCGTCGAGAAGAAAACGACTAGGATCTTCGGATCCTTACGGCTTAAAAGTACTGGAAGCACGGTCGGTTATACCGATCCATTAATCTCGATCATGTCCGAGTGCACGTGAACGTCAGCAAACTTGAGTAATGTGACCTGATCATTGAGACATACGTAGCAACCGAATAAACGATCCAGAACACGCTCCATCGCCTAGTAAATAATGACATATATCGTCGTCGCTTAAGATTGTCGCAGTGACACCGTAAGAGCAGTAAGGACGCTTGAACGTCATAATCTCGTTTCTTCCCCACTTCTTTCTTAATTTACGGCGTTGTATCGTAGGAAGGATACGCGGACGTATAGTTTGAACGTAGAAAAAACGTTTAAAAAAGCTTCTAGCTAGCGCAGACGATCTGCGGAGCGAAGTATCCTTCGTACGATTCTCCTTTGCTGTTTCAGTATCACTATCAGCGACCCACTTGGCCGGCGCGATGAATTATTCTTTCTTTTTCTTCTTTTCATTTTTTCTCTTTTTTTTTCTTCTGTTTCTTATACGTCATACGAAACGCATTTGTCGCGTTTCTTCTCTCCTTTTTTCCTTCCCGTTACTTGAGTCGCAATTATAACTCTCTCTTCGAGTTCCTCTTTTTTAATACCGACGACGATGACCGTGGCTGTGGACGGCACTCGTTGCCAAAATGAAAGCAGTGCCGCTGATATTCGACACTGACAAAGGCACAGTCATAAGTCTCGTACGTTCAGTAATTTTCTCTCTCTTTCTTGTCTTCTCTTAGGGCGTATAAAATATCTCACGCAAGACACAGAATGCGGAATTATCACGAACTAATTTTTTTTTCTTTTTTTTTTCTTTTTTACATCCGCGTTGCTTCACTTTCTCCTTCTGTGTTTGCGTATTAGCACCGATAACGCACCTCGATACGCAGTTAATCTCTTATGATTCTTGATCGATATTATTGCTTCTCTCTCTCTCTCTCTCTCTCTCTCTCTCTCTCTCTCTCTCTCTCTCTCTCTCTCTCTCTCTCTCTCTTCCTCACCCCGTTGTTTTTTCTCTTTTTATTTATATAATATAATATAATATTATTAATATAAACGTTTACGTTTTGGCCACTCAGTTCGTAATCGACGAAGCACACTACTGTCTGTGTTCCGCGCGACGTTTAGATAGTTTAGAATAATTTTAATTCACTTTTATACAACACTGAATTCTCGTTTACTGCTGTCGATTTCCTCGCTTTCGTATATGCTTCTTTGTAGAGATGAATCCCACGATCCAGCTTGGAGCGGCTCATCTCCTCCTCTTGGATTCTATAGTAGCAGCTATCATTTGCCTCAGCGTCGGTTCCGGAGAACATACTCGCGGTTCGCATTTCATGTTACCATCGCCTCCGCAACTAAAATATATGATTCGTGTTACATTTTTTTTTTTTTAGAAATAACAAGCATATATTTAATATAAAAGACAATTTATAAAAGAATTTAGAATTTAGAAAGATAGCTTTCTGTTACTGTAAACTTACATGCAATGGAGACAAGGTCCAGATGTTGGCTGAATGACTTCTCCAACTCGATAGGCCTGGCCACGGATTTGGCAGCCGCTTCGTCTCGCAGCGCCCTTATACGCATGAGCATGGAAATGTGGCGGTAATGTGGTTGTGGTTGTGGTAGTAGTAGTGGTCAAATTAAGAGCCGTGGCCATCGATACAGGACACTCATATCTGGGGCAGCAGAAACCGCTGATCGGTTCTTCGTGGCAGCCCGGAATAGGCGGCGGACAGCTTTGTTGGAGACAGATAATGTCACTTCTGAAGCAGAAGCAGAAGTCGCACGGGTCGTCCCTGGGTATTTGTTGCGCCGAGACATAAATCTTGCCGCCGTATCGACAAGTGCCCGGTCCGTACTCCTCGTCGGTTTCCTCAGGGAAATAAGGACCGTTTTCATCTGGCATAGAATAATCTGAATCAGAATATTCCGGAATATGAGGAGGCAAAGTTGTTGCTGGTCGTTGCTTGTGTAAGCTAGGTTGTTCTGTCGATTCCATAGTATGGTTGACCGGTAAGTGTTCACCGCTGGTTGTCAGCGTCAATTCATCTTCCGGTCTTATCGGTATCTGGGGTTCAAGCTTTTCTGGTATCTGAGGTTCAGGTTCTTCTGGTATCTGAGGTTCAGGCTCTTCTGGTAATACTGGTCTAGTCGTAATTTGCTCCTCAGGTAATTCAATCGGTACACCAGAAACTTTAGTTGGACCCTCAGCGGGTACGACAGCTTCTGAAGAAGTTTCAGGTTGTTCCGTCTCTGGATGCTTCTCTGTTTTTGTAACTTCTTCAAGCGTATGTTCCGTAGTAAATTGAGATTCTATAGCTACAGTCGGATGACCCTCTTCGGATATAGTTGGCTGAATCTCCTCGGGTACAGTTGGCTGAATCTCCTCAGGTACAGTTGGCTGAACTTCCTCGGATACAGTTGGATGAATTTCTTCGGGTATAATTGTATGAACCTCCTCGGGTACAGTTGTATGAATTTCTTCGGATACAGTTGTATAAATCTCCTCGGGTACAGTTGGGTGAACTTCCTCGCCTTCAGGTTGGCTAGGCTGAATTTCTCCTGCAGAAGTTTCTTCTTCTTTAGAAGGAGGAGGTCCTTCAGTAGGCTGTAATTTCGTTGCTGGTTGTTCTTCCTCATAAATGGAAGTAGTCTCAACTGAAAGAACGGTTTCAGTAGGATGTACTTCCTCTTCTGCTTCAGTCGGTTTTTCTTCAACTTCTATCACTTTGACTGAAACTACTTCTTCCGGTAATTTCTCTTCAGTCACTTCTTCAATACTTTCAATTATTTTCGTGGTAGTTTCACTTGGTTGCTCGGGTGACTCTGTCTCTTGTTTTGATTCAGTCGACTTTTCTGTTTCAGATGGAAGTTCTTCTGGCTTTTCGGTTGAACTTACTTCAATTTTCGTTACGGATTCATCTAATTTCTCCGTACTTTCAGTTGTAGCTACTTCTACTTCAGATGGAAGTTTTTTTACCTCGCTGGCCTCAGTCGCTGGCTTCGATACTTCTTCTTCTACACTAGATAATGTTGTTTGATATTCAGGTTTATGAGTTTCTTCAGTTTCAATTGATATAGTCGAATGTTCTTCGGGTGCCAAGCTTGTCACAGTTGTCGCTTCTTCGCTTACTGGATGTTCCGGTAAAGTAGCTTCAGTAACTTGACCTTCTTCTTCCGGCTTTTGTTCTCTCGGAATAATTGTTGTTTCAAATTCCATTGGTCCATGAACTTTTACAATTGGTTCAATTTCCTTGTATTCGGTATCTTCCACAGAAGGATGCTCCTCTGTAGTAATAGCAGATGTCACAACTTCTTCTTTAGTAACTTCTTCTGTCGTTTCTTTCTCACCTATTTCCGTTACTTCTGCACCCGTGACTGATATCTCTTTACTTGGTTCTTCTGTTATTTCTTCGGGTTTCTGTTTTTCAACTTCTTTGTAAATTTCAGGAATAATAGTAGATTCTTTTACTACTTCAGGTGATTCCGTTTCTGGTTTGGCACTTTCTATAGTCTTCTCAGTTACCTGTTCCTCTGTACTCGTTATTGGCGTGGTCCTTTCTGTCGCAATCCCTTCTATTATTTCTTCTTCATTGAAAGTAGTAGTGATAACAGCTTCTTCAGTAGAATGCTCTTCGAATTTCGAAGTTTGCTCTTCAACCGAAGTAGTGACGTGTTCTTTTACAGTTGATGTTACGAATTCCACTTCAGGAGTAATAGGCTGTTCAGTTCCCGCTTCGCTTGAACTTGGCTCAATTTCTTTTACGATCGGTGTAGTAAATTGCTCGCCAGCTTCTTCTTCAACAGGTGCAGATATGGTTGATTTCTCAACTATTATCTCTTCGGTAGTTGATTCAGGTGTCTGAGATTCAGATGTAGTTTCCGAATGTTCTTCTACTGGTAGTTGAGTACTTTCTGGTTCATAAGCAATACTGGTTTCAGTAGATTTCGCATGTTCTGCTTCAGTAATTTTTCCAACTTCAGTAGTTTTCTCTGGTTCTTCTGTGCTACTTGGGAATTCAATTTCAGATGGTTTTTCTTTGGAAATTTTTGTAACTGACGGTTCTATATATTCTGTAGTTTCCTTTTCTATTGCACTTTCGCTTGTTTCTTCGTAAGAAATTTCAGGAGTAGATTCTTTAACAATTTCTTTGCTAGGTATTTCTGTTTCAATAGGAATGTGTTCTTCTTCCACTGTAGGAGCTTGTGTTGAAATTTCTGGTTCCGCCTTCGTGCTCTCTTCCGTGGACACTTCTATAGATTTTACAGTCATATGTTCCTCTGTCGATGCTTTTTCAGTCACCGTATGATCATGTACCAAAGTTGTCAATTCTACATTAGGTAGAGTCGGCTGCTGCGTTTCTTCTTCGCTTGGAACAATGCCAGGTAATTCTGTCTCTCCTTTGCTTGGAACGATGCTGGGTAATTCTGTTTGGCTTTGTGGTTCCTCAGTTTGAGTAACTTCAATTAATGTGGTTGTCTCTTGCTCTTTTTTCTTTTCATATTCAGCTTCAATCTCGAGTTTAGATTCTGTTGTCGATTGAATTTCAGGAATAGAAGTACTCTCATATTCAGTTGTTTTTACAATTTTTTCTTCCTCTGGGATTTCTAATTTTTCCGTTACAACTTCTTCTGATTTTGTAGATATTTCATGTTCCTCAACAGTAACTGGTTCCTCAGAGGTTATCTGTGGCGTAACTTTTTCTTTTTCTTTTTCCGGTTGCTCTTTTGTGATTTCTTCAATTGATTCAGGCGTCGATTGCTCTATGATATTTTCTGTTTTAGTAGATGTTTCCGATTCTTTGACCGATGTAGTAGTTTCTTCTTCCATAACAGTAGCTATGGTCGTGATTTCTCCTGCTATCTCAGTAATTGTTGAAGCTTTTTCTATTTCAACAGGAACAGAAGTCGTTTTTTCTTCTGTCACAGTAGAAATCGTAATTCCCTCTTCAGTGCTGGAAGGTTTCTGTTCTTCCGATGCATACGTAGAAGTAATTATCTCAGCGCTAACAGGAGTTTGTTTCTCCACAGTCTCCTCTTGCGGTTGTTCGCTCAAAGTTGTTGATTCTGTTATAGTTTCCCCTTCTTCAACCTTGCTTTCGGTAGTTTCTCCTGGCACAATTGATGGTATAGAATGTTCTTCTTCGGGTATTTGACTTGCAAATTCTTGTGATGTCTCAGGCACTGGAGGAATGGTATGTTCCTCAGGACGTTGTTCAATAGGTTGCTCAACTGTAGTTGGCTGTTCGTAAGTTGTTTTAACAGGTTCAAGAGTAGTCTGCTGTTTCTCAGTTGCTATCTCTTCTTCAATGGAAGAAACAGTGGTTTCCGCAGGCTGCGATTCTGACGTACTAATTTCACTAATTTCAGCTACCGTACTGAATTCTTTTGCTGTTTCAGTTGACATCTCCGTTGGTGGAACAGTCTTCTGATCTTCTTCGGGAATATGCGGTATTAAATGACTGTCAGATTCCGGTTTACTAGGCGGTGTCGAATCACAGGCGTACATTGGACAGCAAGATTCTCCGCTCGTGTAAACCGGCATGCAATTCGATAAGTGTGGTGGCGGCGCAGGACATTGTACGAGTTCGCATTGTACGATACTGCTAATGCAACGACAACTGGTTTGACAAACATTTGCCGGCGGAACGGCTGAATTGTTACTATATGATTGTCCTTCCACAAGACAGTTACCTTCTCCTGGAATACCTGACGGACGAGGTGCAATTGTCGACGTACCCTCTTCCTCTGGAGAAGTCATTTCAGGAATACTTGTTTCGGTTGAGTATTGAGGCACTTCTTTTTGTGATACTTCAGTAGTAATTTTTTCTTCAGGTATTTCTTGTGGAACAACTGTTGAATGTTCCTCTTTCTCTTCATATATTGGCGTCTCCGTGGTTATTTCTTTAGCAATTTCTTCTTCTTCAGGTTTCTGTGGTTGTTCTTCAATAATTGGTATTTTAGTTGTTTCAGAAATTATACCTTCTTCCGTGGATATTGGATAGATGCCAGTGGCAACTGGGCCTTCCGCTTCTACTTCTTCATCAATTGGTTTCCTTTTGTTATCGGTGGTTGTGTAGCTTGCTCGTGTGTTTGTGTTTGCTCTTCTATCGAAGATACAGACTCAGTTGAAGATATAATTTCTTTTTCAGTAAGAACTTCCTCGTGCTTTGTAGATTCTTCAACAAGTCCAGGCAACTCGGTTGAGATTTCAAATACTGGTGTCGTTGTATCTTCCCTTTCTATGATTTCAGTTGTCTCGCTAATACCAATGTCTTCTTCAACTGGTTTTTCAGGAATTGACGTTGTAAAAGGCTCTACAGGACTCGATGTTTCAGTTTCTTTCCTTTCATGTATTGCAGGTTGTTCTTTAGTGATTGGTCCTTGAGTCTGTTCCTCCTCTTTGGATGGTTCCGTTATACTTTCCGGTTGTTGACTTGTTATTTCAGGTTGTTCTGATTGCGTAACTGCTTCATCAATAGGTTTTATCGTGCCAGCTTCGACCGGTTTTTCTTCTGGTGCAACAGATTCGGTAACAGCTTCTTCAGAAAATGGAATATGAGATGTTTCTTCCTCAGAAGAAATTGTTGGTTTCTGTGGTTCTTCATGTATCTTGGTTACTTCTTCAAGAGATGGTTTCTGAGTCATTTGTTCCTCGCTTAGTTCTGGTTCAATAGATCCTTGATCTTCCTTGCGATCTGAAGGAATAGAAGGCTGACTTGGTATATGTTCTTCGCTAACAGAAGGCTGAGTTGGCTTCTCAGTTTCCTCTTCTATGGTCGTAACCTTAGTGGTTTCAATTACAGAAATTTCTGTTTGTATTTCCTCCATAGATACAGGCACAGAAACTTTTTCTTCACCTACTTCTTCAACTTTGTCTGCTTCGATAGGATGTTCAATAGGTAATTCGGTTTGTTCAACACCAGTAATTTCCGTTGGTTTTGATTCTACAGTTTCTTCAGATGATTCTTTTTCTGTTGCCATTATTTCAGTTTGTTGTTCCACACTTTCTGTTGATGCAGCTTTCGTATCTTCTTTTTCTTCTAAAATATGACTTTCTGTAGTGGCAGTTTCTTCCGAAACTGTTTGTGTAGAATATTGTTCAGGTTCCTTAGTTACTTTTTCTTCGACAACAGGTATTAGCGTGGTAAGTTTCTCTTCAACTTCTGTTATCTGTATTGCTTCCGTTGTTTGTTTCGAGACAGGTTCTTCGGTTTGTAATTCTGCCTCTTCACTAGTTATGCCTGGTATTACAGTAGGTTGTTCTGTAGCTTGTTCTTCAATTGATTTTTCACTAGTAACTGGAACAGTTTCTCCTTCAACAAGAACAATTTCAGTTTTTTCTTCTTCGACTTGCGTTGATTGTTCAGTAGAAGAAATTACTGTAGTAACACGTTCACCTTCCGTTGTATGCTCTTCTTCAAGACCTGAAGGCACTGTCGTATGTTCCGCTGGAATAGATGAGAACGTTTCAGGAGTTTCTGATTCCATTACAATTGGAGGTTGTGTTTCTATTTCAAGACCTGAAGGCACTGTCGTATGTTCCGCTGGAATAGATGAGAACGTTTCAGGAGTTTCTGATTCCATTACAATTGGAGGTTGTGTTTCTATTTCAAGACCTGAAGGCACTGTCGTATGTTCCGCTGGAATAGATGAGAACGTTTCAGGAGTTTCTGATTCCATTACAATTGGAGGTTGTGTTTCTATTTCTTCTTCACTTGATTGCTCTTTCTTTGGTTGCATCTCTTTTTCTCCTTTTTCGCCGCTTATTTTCTCAGTAGAACTTTCACTAGATCTCTCAATTTCAAATCCTTCTGTAGTCATTTTCTCGGGAGTCTTTTCTGTTGACGGAATTTCTGTTAATGATACTTTGGTTTCTGTTTCTTCTGATATACTAGATTTCTCAGTTTTTTCAGGTGCTTCTTCTTTGGATACCTCTTCGTAAGCAATAGTAGTTGCAGGAGATTCCGTACTAATCTGAACTTCGGTAACAACAGACGTGCTTTCCGTTTTTATTTCTTCAGTGCTCATAGTTATTTCAGGTTTACGTTGAGTTGGTAAGTTAATTTCTGTAACTTCTTCTAGAATTGACTTTGTGGTTTCTTCTGTTAACACTTCAGTGACTTGTGTCACAATTGGTTTTGCAGTTTCTTCGGATAAAGTTAACGTGGTCTCATGTTCCTCTGGAAGGTACGTTGTTGGTACTTTTTGTGGAGGTTCAGTTATAAGATTATCAGGACTAACTATTGGATGCGTAACACCATGGTAATCTTCTGTCACATGATATATGTCTTTATCTTCCGCTTTTTGTTCTGGGCTTCGATCGGAAATTGGTATGTCAGTTGGGCCTTGAATTAAAATTTCTGGTGTTGATTCTTCTTTCACATGTTCTTTCTTCGTAGTGATAGGTTCCTCACTCATTGCTGGACTTTCAGTTAGGCCAGCATCTTCTTTCTTAGCACCGAGTGTGACTTGTCCTGTTTCAATTATTGCATGCTCAGATGTTGACTCTTCCGGCTGTTGTTCTATTTCACCCTTTTCTGTCACTGGCTTCTGTTCTATTTCAACAGATTGTTCCTCAGGAGGACCACTTATTTCAGTCGTTTGATCTTTTGTAAGAATGATTTCCGTTGGATGCGATATTTCTTCTTTCTCAGTGACAATTTGTTCAGTGCTAGATATTTCATGAGCAACAGTCACAGTTTCTTCTTTCTTTGGTAATTCTGTTTCCATTTCTAGAACATTACCTAGTGTAGTTTCTAGTTTACCTTCGCCTTCCTTTGGTTGTTCGGTGACAGATTCAGGAACAGTGCTAATACTAGACTCTTCAGCTGGTGACGTTTGCTGAACAATTTCAGTTAAAATCTCTGGTATCTCCGACGCTTTTGTTACGGTAATTTGTTCTTCTTCCGTTGTCTCTTCTACTTCAGTTATCTCTGGAGTTTGCGTTGGTAATCCTTCAGGCAGATTAGTAGTCTCTTCTTCTTTTACAATACCTTCGGTCTGCGTTGTTTCACTAACAGAAGGCTCAGTTGATTGTCCTTTTTCAATAGAAATAGGAGTGCTATATTCTTTTTCAATTTCCTTTTCACTTTCTTCTAACGTACTAACGTGTTCTTCAGGTATATGTTCTGTTGTTTTCACTTCCTCTTCCGGTTGCACGCCTTCTGCAATAGACGAAACTTCTGGTAATTCAGTCATAGATGTTTTAATAACCAAATCTTCTTCAGTTTTTTGTACTGTCACAGGTGTTTCCGTCTTTGCTGCTTCTGTTTCAGAGGGCATTTCAATTTCTGTCTTTTCTGATGTTACTTCAGCAGGAGATGTTTCGGTAATATGTTCGTGAGAAGGAGTGAATTCTTTCTCAACAGTAGTAGTTTCCATCTCCTCTACCAAAAGTGTTGTAGACTTTTCTTCAGGTTGTTCTTTAGATGGAATGTATCCCTGAGTAATGTGTTCAATAACTCCTTCTTCTTTTTCTCCCTCTTGAGTCTGCGGTATAATGTTATCGATACCTTCGAACGTTTGAGGATATTCATGTTTTACTTGCTGATCTTCCTGGTCAATCAAAATGGGCGATTCGGTTATTTGATCTAAAAGCTGTCCTTCATCTTGAACTGGTATTGTGGTGATTCCATCCTCTGTAATAAGAACATACAAATATAACATAAGAACATATTCTTTCGTGCGTAATGTTCTTTGATTAATAATGCTCATTAGATCGTTAAGTTATATAATTAAGTTATACATCGTTAATATTAGTTATGTGAAATTACTTACTGGTACTACATTGGTATGTGGTCGGACAGCATTCTCCTTCCGGTGGCGGTAAGGCCGTGCAATTCTTTCCATGCTCTTGCATCGGCGTTCCGCAATCTTGCACTGCGCAAGCGATCTCGCCTCGGAAGCAATAACAATGCTGGCAAGGCTGAGTCGAGTAAATCAGTTCACCATCTTCGTAGACTTTACCCTCGTAATAACATTGAGGTAACACACCAGGAGGCAGTGTTGTAGTCATAATGAGTCCGGGAGTTGTTTCAACCGTGGTGCTAGATTCCTCATCGTATTCTACACATAAAATCAATAATTGTGGATACTTTCCGCACGAAATAACATCGAGATATCACAGGACGGCGCAATTACTTACCACAATTGTACTTGATCGGACAACATACACCCGGTTGATAGACCGGTTTACATCCAGCCACTCGTAAAGTACACTCTTGCATGACGCAAGTGGTTCTATTTCTGATGCAGTAACAAAGCTCACAAGGATTGTGATGATCCAGCGGCAGCATAGCGCCGTCTGCGTAAAATCTCTGGTCAACGTGGCAGCCATGATTATCATGGAAACCGACCTCTGTGGAATCCGAGATCGTCGGTGCGCTCGTCGTCGACGTCAACAGCTGAACCGGTACTTCCGGACAGGTGATCACGGGACAACATTGGTCCGGACGTTTTTCCACCGTGCAATCCTGACCGATCGCTTTCGTGAAGGGACAAACTTTCAAGTAGCACATCAGCATTCGATTATGACACGTGCAGTTCAGACATGGTTCGCTTGTCATGATCCTATCACCTTCCTGATACCGTTGAAAGTTGAAGTAACATCCAGTGATAGCTAAAGAAATCATTTAACATTATTATATGTCGAATCTCTAAAACGTCATAATTATAAAATTATTACTTTCGTGATATCGTTATATATCGTGAAATCGACAAATAAATATAATGAAGAGTTTTTTATTTTATTATACATAATAATTATTTGTAATAATTCTGTTTAAATATATTAATTTAAATACAACGTGTGTGGTTTCTCATTCATTGATTAATGTGACATTGCTGGTACACGTGACGATTGATTGAGATGCAATAAAAACCGGCGTGATATACATACCTCCATCGTACTCTGCAATCTGTGTGGTATCCTGGTCGTATACCGGCGCTGCAATCAAAGAAACACGTCTGTTAGTGCGGCGCGATCAAGCACGCTACGACAGGTACATGTACGTGAAGTTAAAGTTAATGAAAAGCATAAAACGGGATTACCGAATAAGCTCAGGGAAATTTGTAGGGACGGACGTCAATGCGTCTCCCGCGTGCAGTTTATCATAGTAATTACCGGCAGGACGCATTCGTCATCTCTCGAGGGTGTACCGGGGCTTAACAACGGAACGAGTGGAAGCGTCATATGGCGCGAACACACGTGGGCGAATTCTCGTTAACACCCTCGCCCCAGTCATACGAGTTACGTGGCGAGTGCACACTGAGTAGTGAATTCCCTTTGGCTCTTCCTTTCGCGTATAATCCGCGGGAACATTCACGTACAACAACAATCGCATATCTCCCTTTGCGAGCCTATTCTTTCCTTACGCGACTACGCGCTTTCGTAATTTCTTTTTGAAATTGGG